GGAGGGCGAGGCCGCCGGGGGTCCCCCGCGCGCTGATCCGGCCGGGCGGGGGCGCAAAACGGGGCGCGGGGCCCCCTCTCTGTCCCTCTCCGCGGGCCCCTCCCGCCCTTGCCGTCCGCGCGAGGCCTACACGATGCCCGGGGCTGGGGTGCGCGCAGGGGAGGGGGAGGGGAGACCGCGGTGGGGCCCCCCCGGACTGCGGCAGAGAGAGGGCTCCGGGACAGGAAACGGGGTGTTGGACCGCGGGAGGGGGACCCGCCTCCTCCGAGGGAGTGCGATTTGCTGGGAGGGGTCCCTATGGGGGGCTGGGGGGAGAGAAACGGGCGAGCAGAGTCGGGGGGCCTCGCCGAAGGGGGGAGCACTCCGGCGAGGGCAGTGGCGGCGCGTGGGGAGGTGGTGACAGCCCCTCGCGGGGACCGGAGCGGTAAAGGTGGTGCAGAGGGGGGAGGGGGCGCGCGCGAGTCGTGGCGCAGGAGGGGGGGCGGGGAGGAGGGAGCGCGGCGAACGCTGGGCGCGACTCGGGCGATTCGGGCAGGACCGACTGTGCGCGGAGCAGACGTGTCCTGGGCCAGGCCGAGCCGTGGAAGAGAGAGAAGGAGAATCAAGTCTAATAAAACCAAAAACAACAACAAAAAAATAGTGCGCAAAGTGCCCAAGGAAGCCAGATGACACGTCATTTTACAGTGACCTTTTTCTCCCCTTCCAGACTTGCAGGCTTTTTTTGAAAAGCACAGAAAAGTGTCAGTGGCGGCAGCTGTCCCCAGCTGTGCCCCCACCCGTGCTTTAAACGGTTAACACACACGTTTTCCTGGTGGTTGGCCACACTGGGAGTGCTTTGTGAAAAAATTTAAAAAATAATAAAAATAAAAAACTCACTAATTAGATAAAACTGGAAAATGACATTTGTCTCTAAATGGCTTCTTGGTTTTGAAATGGCGCTTTTAAAATTTTTGTCCTTTTCAACGTGGGGGGAGGACTGAGCGCTCTGAGACTCTCCAGGTGGGGGCAGAGGAAAAGACATTCATTAGTTAAGTGACATTTGGCTGTTTGGTTTTTCTTCTCTGTTTTTCACCTCGGCTTTTCCTCTTGGGGGTCGGGGTGGGGCGTGGGGGGGGAGTTCCCAAACTGAGGAGATGACCTCTCCTTTTTTAAGGTGCTGTTTGGGGGTGCAGGGGGGTGTGGGGGAAACAAAAGCACACACACAAAAAAATCGTTGAAGTGACCAAAGCCACAAGCATTAACTATAATGGGAGCTTTCCACTTCCGTGGAATCTTGGCTATCTGAATAAATTTGTAAATTTGCTAGGTTAAGAACCTAGCTCATGGTCGCATTTCAACAAAACAGCTTAATTAATCAAGAATAAAATGTAAAAAGCTGGCCTTTCTTTTGTGGTGTTTGGTTGCTCTTTCTGGAGGGGGTCACGCCTTTGTTCGCCCTGGTCCAGATTTATAAAAGCGGAAAATTATTAAGTGAAAAGTCTCTTTGGTGTTTGTTTATTTGCAATTTCAGTAATTAAATGATACATATGTGGAAGTCTAAAACTTCTAAAGGTATAATTCTATGTGAATATTGATATGCTTTGATTTCAAAGTACAAGCCTGGAAGAGTCTAGAATTACTCTTCTATGGGTGCTGCCTCGCTATTGGAATACTGATTTAAGCCAAGTGTGATGTTAATAGCACATTAAATTTCTAACACCTTTTGTGCAGTGATTACAAAGTCTCCACTTAATTTGAGACTGTTACTCTGACACACCCTGCCTCTTTTTAAGGTATCCTAGTCTCTGTGACTACACAGTGCCACAATTAACTCATGCCCTCTGGCACAGAAATCTGTTGCCCAGGCCACTGGCAACATTGTGCATTTTTTTAATGCAAATAACCCCCCCAAAGGAAACCTAATGCCCCCCAGCTCTCTTTTTAACCCATTTTAACTTAATTACATGAAAATTGAGTAAATTACAGACCAACAGAAAACCCTGACAGCTGTTCTCAGGGCCAATTCTCTAAGTCTCACAAATGTGGAAACTGAGGCACGGATCTAGTTCTGCCTATAAAAAGCAGTTGTCACGCATTATAACACTTCTGAAATCAGAGTTGTGGAGATCCTGGTTAATACTAAACGTTCCCTTCATGGGCTCTCCTAATAGTGCCATTTATAGTTTAATTTATGAGAGTTATGCTCATTAAGATGGTGTTTGCTTTGAAATCAATGTTTCTGTGGAAACTAATTTTTAACTTTTACAGATATTGATTATAGCCTTGTGAATAGGAAAAAGGGGGAGGAATGCTTTGCTATCTGGGCATTAAAACAAAAACAATTAGTGCAATTAAAGAAAACCCGGGTAAAAGCTTACAGATTCCTGTGGGAGGAGGGAAAAAGCCCTTCACAGGGGGAATATTGGTTGGAAAATACATTTGCATAAAAAATAAGGCAAAACAATAGCAATCCTCCCTCTAACTTGATGGAAATGTGGTTTTTTTACATAAAATGTTACTTTTTTGAACAAATGAAAGGTGATTTAAAATGGAGGCTTGTATTTAGTTGGGAAGAGCTTAGCATCTTTAAATTCAGTTTTCCAGGAATATTTGTGCATATAATTAAAGTCTTATCGTTTTGTTCTTTCATCCACTGCCCTGGCAGGCTGCCTAATGCTAATAAGGTCTCAAGTGCTATGTTTGATATTAAAATGTATGTCTTTTTGTTTTTGTTTTTTGTTTTTTTTTTTTTTTTTTTTTTTTTTTTTTTTTTTTTTTTTTTTTGGATGCTGACAGATAATTGACGGTCTTCCATTTTCTTCTGCAACGTGGTGGTTGTATCCAGAGAAAATGTATCTTTAGAAAGATTTCCTTTGCAGGGAAAGGGGGGGGGGGTGAATAAGTGGATAAAATGTAATGCTGTGGTTTAAGGGTGGCTCTGGATAACCCAGGGGTGGGGAGCATGCAGGAACTCAGCTGCATCGCGTGCTGGGAGGGAGGTGCTGCAGAGGGACGTGATGCGGGAGACTGCAGTATCTGCATTGTTTGCAAGTCCTGGGTATTTTAACCACGAAACATCTGACAAACAATGAATTATGTGGCAGTGTGCATTTCTCTGCACCTTCGCCACATTTCAGGATTCAGTAGTCTTCACTTTTCTGCCCCCCCTTCAAATGACAAAATGACGTCATTCGTTTTTCATCACCCCAGTTTTTTAAACCACCACCAAGAGAGAGAAAGAGAGAAAACAAACTGAAGCTACCTAAAAGCAGCAAACCCTTTAATTCTTGTTTGTTGTTCTGATGGTAAAATACTTCAGGCAGACACTGAGTTGATGTCTTTCATTTTCTCTGCGTCGAAATGTCAAAGAATTGCAATTGTGTTGCTGCTCTGTGTTGCTGTTATGTGCTGCTTCTGTGGACAACATCCAAAACTCGAAGGTCCTCTTCCAGGTGAAGTGTGCTGGCCCCTGTCTTAACCTGAGCCTGCTCTCCTTTTTAGGTGCTGGAGAATCTGGGAAAAGCACCATTGTGAAGCAGATGAGGATCCTGCATGTTAATGGGTTTAACGGAGAGTAAGTGTCAAATCTGTGCAGGGCACCCTGAGCCTCCAGTGTGACACATGGTACTGACCTTTAGGAAGTAGAGTTAGGACCTTTGACACACTATACTAACCTTTAGGAGGCAGAGCTGGGGTCTTAGGGGACTGGGCAGCTGATTGTCACCCAATTTTTTCTCTAATTTACATGTTAGAAAGTCCAGAGAAGAGCTGCTGGACACTGCCTAGACCCTCCTCTCAACCTTTGGTGCAGCAAATAATAATAGTAATAATACAGCACTCGTGTCCATGTGAAGCTGCTCCCTCACACTAGAAAATGGTGCCTGGTTGCAAAGGACAGTGAACAGCACTTGGCCCGTGACAGCATCTCTGAGGCCAGGTCCTCTGCGGCAGCCTATCTGCTGCAGTGCGGTTCCAACATGGCCGACACGGCCTTGACCACCCCGTGTCCAGCCGATCAACATAGGGAGTGGGATGAACTGGTACAAGGTGTTTCCCACTATCAGAAAAACATAGTTTCTTTACTAGCTTCACTTAGGAATTGGAAGCCACCACCCCCCACCTTTGAATTAATGTGATAGGCAAATAATTGTTTCTCTGATGGAGAAATCAATACTCCTGCTTAAACAGGTGGAAAGAAAGCATTAAAATGGTGGGAAGACTGAGAGTTAGATACTCGGCCAGTCCGAGGGGCATTTTTGTCTTTGAAATGACCTTCCCGCTTCCTGGTTTAGGACAATATGGTGGTACAGATTTTCCTAAGAGAGAAAACATAGAGACTTGACAGATGGGGGGTCCTGCCTTCCATGGAGAGAGCAAACAGGAAGTGCTCGATAAATTAGGGAGTTTGACTTTTCCCCCCCAAGCCCACCTGTGATAACCCATGAAACAGGAGCAGCTGATTGATCGAGGCCCTGCTTTCACTGGTTAAATCTAGATTGGAAGCACCTGAGGGCACTGGTGTTCAATTACTAGCTGGTTTACCGTCCCATCCCCTTTTCTCAACCCCCGTTCAACTAGAATGCCGCCCCTCAGCCGCCTGCTTCATTGTGATTGATTTCAGAAAGGGAGAAAGTGAAGCTGGCAGAATTTTGTTCAGTTACACACCCTGGGTTGGGGGAGCTGCTTGCTGTCGCCCAGGTTTCATTAAGCACTGGGGAAACAGGTGGACACCACCTTTCAGAGTGCCACAGGCAGCTCTTCATGGAAAATTCTAGAATTTATTTGATCAAGTAATCGGGTTAGAAAAAGATGATGTCACATGTTCCTTACATTATAGCTATAAAATTCAGAAAGCTCACTATGCAGAAGGGAAGCCAGCCAAGCTCACAGATTTAAGGATTGGCTTAATGAGTTATCTCTACAAACCTATAATCTATTAAATAAGTAACCCTCACTTATCAGATACCAATTCTGGGGAGGGGGCGGTCTTAGTTCCTGACACACCCTTCTGAGGCTTTGCCTCCCAGATGGTATCCTATCAGTCAACAAGAAGAACCCGAAACAGACTTGTAGCCCTGAATTTATAATTTAAAAAAAAAATCTTGCATAGTATTTCCCCCCTGTAACTTATGGGGGTGCTTCAACATGAAGCTAGTTAAGCAAAAAATAATTTGACTACGTACCCTCTAGATAAATATTTTGATTAAAGCTGGACCCGGCTAGCGTTTTTAAAAGACGCAATAGCCACTGTTTACCTAAGCTTGGGTCAGATGGGAGATGTCATCCTTGGAATAATTCACTTGAAGTTTTATTACTTTACAGATTTCCTAAAATCTTAACTTTAAAAAAAAAAAAAAAACCCACCACCAAAAGGATCCCTGAGTGAGCCGGTCTCAAACAGCTGAGGGTTTTAAACCAGAGCATCTATTTTCTTTCTGAAAAGGGGAGGAGGTATTCCCAGTTTGCCTTCTTTGTGGACCTCAAGGATGTTAAATTTAGCCTGTGAAACTGATACATGGGGCCATTCTTCATGGGGGTCAAGACCCCTTATTTTCACCTGGTCCAGCTAAGCCTCAGCTTTTTCCTCACTGTGGTATTGCAACAAATGTCTTGCTTGGCAAAGGGATTACTCTGCGGTGACCTGGACCTAAAGGGTGGTCTGCCCAGTCCCGGGCGTCTCTTCCTGCTTCTGCCCCTCCACGCAGTCCCGCACTGTGTTCTTAGGCTGTGCTATTAAATATGGCTTAACTGTCCACAGTCTGCCTGCCATTACATTTTTAAAGAGTAACATAATATTAACTTGACCTTCAGACATAGAGAGGTCGAATGTAGACAGCCCTAACTAAAGCTAACTCTTCCTATGTTCAGTGCCAGAAAAAAAAAATTAACATTAGTTAAGCTAATCAATTACAAAGTTGCACAGAAAGACTTCCTGGTCTTCCTGCTCATCCTCCAGGAGCAGTTCACATGTCTGAAGACCAGGTTTAGGGTTTGGTCATTGTTTTTGTTACTGTTTTGGCAATCCGGACGTAGCTTTTATTTATGAGGGATTATAAATTTATAAGGAATTATAAACATATATGCAGCCCCCCCCACACACACACACATACTGCCAGAGGGGAGGGTATTAATTTTGCACCAAGAAATGGGGGACAGAAATCTTCCGTCTGTGGTTTTGTGGGTCTGGAGATGACACTGAAGATTCTGTGGCCTGGGACAATGACGGGCTCCTGCGCGTCCCGATTTCTCCAAAGGATTGTGTTAAGTCACTGCCCTGTTGCATGTGCATTTAGTGAAAGCAGAAGAAAATAATTATCCATCCCTCCAGTCTCCAGCCCTAGTCTCCAGAGGGCTCTGGTAAGGCAGCATCTAAGGTGTGGAACACTCCCCCATGGCCTGCGGTCTCAGTAGGCATTCGATTTAGCCAGAATGGCGACCTAAGAATCCACGGGAGGCCGGATGACCCGAGAAACTGTCACATGGCTCTTGGCTGATGGTTTAAGAATGTAGAGAAGGCTGTGTGTGGGGTTTGTGTGAAATTGTGGTGCTTTGCAGATTAGGTGAGCTTTCAATCTCTCTTTACAAGGGGCGGCGAAGAGGACCCGCAAGCTGCAAGAGGCAACAGCGAAGGGTAGGCACATTCACAACCAGAACAGACAGAGCGTAGTGGGGAAACCGAGGACACACAAGGGGAAGGAAACATCCTTCAGGGGTCAGCAACCATCTCGGGTGCACTTGCAAATGACATGTAAACAATTCCTTAAGTAAAGTGCAAAACAAATTGTTTTAGGGCCATGCCTAAAGGATAATCAGATCCAGCTGGGGGAACGTTACAGACAAAAGTTTAAGATTTTGAGAATCGGTGTTTTTCCATATGGTTTCTATTTTCCCCAGTTCTCCATTTCCATCAACTACTTGTGTTGGTTTTTTTTTAAAAAAACAAAAACAAAAACAAAAACTAAATTCTGTCCATGCATTGGTCAGTCTGATTTTAAAATTTCAGACCTCATTGGGGGGAAAAATCCCTCTATTGAAATACACACCACCCCTGATTCTTTATTGTTTTTTTTGGGGGGGGGGGAATGACACCATGGCACCTTGCTGCCGGTCACTAAGTGACCTTAAAAATTATTACAAAAAGATTTTGAACTAATTCAAGGCACTTTACGTTAGCTGACGGACAAGGGCATTTGTGACAGCACTGCTCCACTCACTATCATTCTTTCTGTTTTGCTTCTTCATCTCCATGGCCATCTCACGCGTGCACACACATGCACATACACACGCATGCCAGGTGGCCATTCTCTGCTTGCTCACTCAGCATGCAAGGTGAAGTAGCAGTTTCTCATGAGAATTCATAGTCACTTCTGTGGCCCAGGACATCTCAGAGAATTAGCTTGGGGGTCGGGGAGGGTCAAAGGATATTGGGATTGGGGACAAAGTAACTGACACATGTTTGTTCATCTGTTTCTTTTAGAACATACTATCCCTACTACTAGATGCTGGCCTCAGTTTCTCCATCTTCCCGGCTTATGTCCCATTGCATGCTGGAGTTGCCCGGTCTTAGGAAACTTCTAATAAGAATAATATTCTGTTTTCTGGGGG